ATGCTGACACGTGCACCGCCGGCTGTCCCACACAGGCCGACACGTGCACCGCCGGCTGTCCCACACAGGCCGACACGTGCACCGCCGGCTGTCCCACACACGCCGACACGTGCACCGCCACCTGTCCCACACAGGCTGACACGCGCACCACTGGATGTCCCACACAGGCCGACACGCGCACCGCCACCTGTCCCACATGCGCCGACACATACACCATCACCTGTCCCACACAGGCCGACACATACACCGTCACCTGTCCCACACGCACCGGCACCGCCACCTGTCCCACACACGCCGACACATGCATCATCACCTGTTCCACACACGCCGACACATACACCGTCATCTGTCCCACACAGGCCGACACATACACCGTCACCTGTCCCACACACGCTGACACATACACCGTCACCTGTCCCACACACGCCGGCACCGCCACCTGTCCCACACACGCCGACACATGCATCATCACCTGTTCCACACACGCCGACACATGCATCGCCAGCTGGCCTCAACAAGCACCTTTGCACTAGAGTGGGAGCACCAGTGACAAGGAGGGTCCAAGGAAACTTGAACGTCAACCTTTCAACAAGGGGAGTCTATGCATGTTATGACTTGCATCATCAAAAATTAAAAACACAAACCACATGATCCAGACTACTCGTGGGCTGCCATATCGCTGAAGTGTCGAGTTCAGCACTGTATGATTTCTCCTCACAAGACTCACCCTACCCACTTGGTTTCCAGCAAGGTGAGTAACACCTGAGTCCCATATCACTGTAGCATCGAGTTTGGCTCTATACAATTTCTCCTTGAGAGAGACTCACCCAACCCGCCTGGTTTCCAGCAAGGTGAGTAACACCTGCGTCCCGCTGACGAGGCAGCTCTCTGTCCTGTCCCCGTCAAACATGTTCTTCAGAAGCTGCTCCACACAGTCCTGCCTGCTGGACACACACAGAGGTCACTGCCTGGCAAAGCAGACACACACACAAAGGAGGCAAGGATGGTTCTTCTTCCCCATGGAGAACCCCAGCAAAACCCTAAACCTGCGCAGGCTCAAGGCCAGGAGCCGGGGTTCTCACGACATTCCAGCTGCTGCTGACCCACACACTCGACCTGCCCTCTGGAAACAGGCCCCAAGTTAACATGGGCTCTGAACGTGGGGTTCATTCCACAACCAGCTCATTAGAATGTGAATCAGAGGAGGTGGCAGCACATCCTGGTGCTCAGAGCAGGGCTCAGAGATGTCCCCATGACCCAGAAAGGGAGGCCCATCAGCACCACGGCCCACCAGCACTCACGACTCCAGCGCTGTGAGGAGGGGGTCTGGCTCCAGAGCCTCTTGCAGCTGACTGCCCTGGTCTCTGCCCAGCCTAACAATGTCACAGAGAGTCTGCGCAGCGTTCGACTGCCTCTGAAAAGACAAGGGAGGCACAGAGCCCATCAGTGTGGAAAAGAAACAGCAGGATCAGTCACTGGGCACGCAGGGTGCGAGCCCTGCCACTGGCTCCTCTGGGAGATGCGGACTTTTGTTGTTCAATATAATCGTAATGTTCAAATTCTTTTTCATTTATTTTTAAGATGTGGAACTTTCTCTAAACCATTCTTCCTAAAGATTCCAGACAACAGCTTAATTTCAGAGAAATCTGTGTCTGCCTTTTCCATGTTCAAAATATATATCTAGTTAGATTTTTTTTTTCAGTTGTATTGAACCATCTTCAGGAATTCAAAACAAGGTTAATAATGGTCAGATATGCAACGCAGAAATATCTGAAATATACTGAATATGTGGCCATGTTATTGATACTGTATTTTAAATGTAATAAAAGGTGTTGGTATTATTCAGAATGAGTCCTGTGCAGACAAAGGTGGTCAGAGAGAAACACAACCCGACTCCCCGCAGCTCTGGTTCACATGCTGTGGGAAGATGAGGAAAAGGAAACACTCACAGGAGTATTCTAGGGAGAAAAGAAAGCAGCCAGGTTGGCTCTGGGGTCTGCCTGTGGTACCCAGGACAGGCCATCAACATGACACCCACGTGCACGGGTGGGCTCTGGTTCTCAGGCAGGGTGGCCTCTCCCATCTGTCTGGTCAGCCCTGTGGCTAACGGAGAACAAAGTAGGCTGGCCAGGCAGCAGTGAAGGCCTCAGACACGAGTCAGCACCATTTTCAAATTTGCCAAGGGACTCTGTGGTTCTGTGTACAGCTAGTGCTCGACTTACGACCACGGTCGGGACCGTGGACCGGTCGTAACACGATTTGGTCGTAAGTTGAGTAGGCTATATATACAGTTGAAATGGTGCACGCGGAGATGGTAGTGCTGCCAGAAGCTGGTCCGCACTGTCGTACGCCCAGCTGGGCAACGTTTGCGCTGCCAGACGCACAGCAGTTGCGGCTAGCGATTGTGGTCGTAAGTTGCACAGGTGGTAAGTCGATCAATACCTGTATAGACAGATATGTGTAGTGCATAGGAAAAGGCCTGCTGGGATATATCCCCAACTCTCAACAGGAATTACCAGAGGAAGCCCCACTGTCACCTTAGGTACTTCCAGGGTGGCTTCTAGGGGGCCCCTAAAGATCCTCTCCTGGAGTTCATGACCCTATAAGCCCCACCTCTTTTTGTGTGGGCTGGACCCAGTCACCCAGGTCTGAAGAGCAACAGACAGTGAGAGTCAGGGAAAGATCAGATGCCAGGTCCTGTGCTGCCCAGTGGAGACACCACATGTGCAATGCTGAGGGCGGCCTCACTGACAGCCCTGAGGAACTGGGCACTGCCACGCCATCTGTGACCAGGGAACTGGCCTCTCCCCCAGTGGAGCTCTGAGATGACTGCAGTTTTGTGACAGACTGGGCAGAAGAGCCACGAAGCCACGTTCAGATGCCTGACCCACAGAAACTGATACTGCTACAGGCAAAAAAGGCTTGCCATAGCAATAGCAACTAAGTTTCAGGGTAATTTGCTATTCAGTTACAGGTGAATAATACAATTCTATTAGAATTTTTCTTTGGTTCTTTTTTTTTTTGGAGAGACAGATTCTCACTCTGTCGTCTAGGCTGGAGTGCAGTGGCACGATCTCGGCTTACTACAACCTTCGCCTCCTGGGTTCAAGCAATTCTGCCTCAGCTTCCTGAGTTGCTGGGATTACAGGAACACGCCACCATGCCTGGCTAATTTTTGCGTTTTTAGTAGAGATGGGGTTTCACCATGTTGGTCAGGCCAGTCTCGAACTCCTGACCTTGTGATCCACCTGCCTTGGCCTCTCAAAGTGCTGGGATTACAGGCGTGAGCCACCACGCCTTGCTGGTTTGTCTGTTTTTTGAGACAGAGCCTTGCTGTCACCCAGGCTGGAGCACAGTGGCATGATCTCGGCTCACTGCAATCTCCCCTTCCTGGGTTCAAGTGATTCTTGGTGCCTCAGTCTCCTAAGTGGCTGGCATTACAGGCACCTTTCACCATGCCTGGCCAGGCTGGTCTCAAACTCCTGACTTCAAGTGATCAGCCTGCCTTGGCCTCCCAAAGTGCAGTGATTTCAGCCACAAGCCACTGTGCCCGTCCTAGAATTGCTTTTATAACACCCATATATTAGTTTTCAGTTAAAAAAAAAAAAAAAAAAAAAAAGCTGAGGCCAGGTATAGTGGCTCATTCCTGTAACCACAGCACTTTAAGACGCTAAGGTAGGAGGATCGCTTGAGGCCAGGTGTTTGAAGCCAGCCTGGGCAATGCAGTGAGACCTCATACCTGTTTAAACAATAAACAGCCTAGAAGCCAGGCATGGTGGCCCACTCGCCACACTGCCCACTTGCCACGCTGCCCACTCGCCCAGGTGAGCAGGAGAATCTCTTGAACCCAAGAGGCGAAGGTTGCAGTGAGCCAAGATCGCACCACTGCACTCCAGCCTGGGCAACAAGAGCAAAACTGTCTCAAAAAAAACAAAAAAAAACACAAAAAACAAACCAGCCTAGAAGTTGGTGCTTTAATAAAGGAAGAAAAACACCTAACTGATCCTCATCTTAGGAAAGGAATGACTCGCTCCTCCCTCCCTCCCTTGGCCCGCAGCAGTGGGTGATTGGGAGCTGCAGGCCTGGGGCTGGCATGCACGAAGCTGGCTCAGTAAGCAGCACACTCACATCTTCGTCCTCACTCGGGTGGATCAATTCCACAAGCCTCTGGATGACTTTCTCTTCATTCAGCCACTGAAAGAGAAGAGGCCCTTCAGTGTCTCTGTTCAAGTCCAAGTAAACGGAAGGATAGCCCTTTGGTACAGAAGTCCATGCACCCCAGTGTTCTAGAATAGACAGTCTCTGCCTGACACATCCAGACCCAGAAAGAACACATAATGACTGAATTCTGGGAGTGGACCAAAAGATTATAAGGGGTAACCACTACCCCTCTGTCCTGATGGTGCATATGTGAGCTCTGTCTTTAGGACTTATCTCTAAGGATCAGCATGCAAATGAGCCAGGCAAGCTGAAGCCCAGGAGCCCTGCTGGATGTTGAAGTCAGAGAAGCCTCAGCTGCTCCCTGCCGCATCGGGGCCTTCCCAGGATGAGGAAGGGTAAATCTACCCTGGTGAGGCCACAGGAACACTGTGGGGTAAAGCTCAAGGGCAACAGGGGCCCAGTGTGAGTGTCAGGGGTCCAGCAGGTCTGGGCCACACCTGGCTCCCGCACTGCACTGCCACCCTGTGCCAAATTCCTTATCTGAAAATGGGATGACCTGTCCCCACATGGCTACTTTGTGAGCTGAATCAAGCAGCTAAAAGCCTGCCTGGAGTACAGTCATGCAGCTTCCCACTAACAGCTACGACATAGCCACACCGCTAGTGCTGATCCTGTGTCCACTGTGTAAAGGTTGGCAGTGGTCAGTCATTCCTGCTGAGAAGCTGCTCCCTGAGGAAACGTTACTAACCTGAGTCAGAGTGACCACCTGGATGACTCCTGGCTCCAGGAGCTGGGAAACAGGCAGAGGGCCTCAAGGTTTACGCTACTCTATTTTAAACCTCACCACAAAGCTGGCCAAACAGTGAGCAGAAGTTTGTGCAGCGCTGATTTCCTGGGCTTCTTCGGGTGGCATCCTCCTCTATTCAGGGACTACAGGCACCTGCTCTCACTGACTGAACACCATCAGAATGGATGCATCCATACTCCAGGGTAGACGATGGGGATCTGCAGGGAACTGCTGTCCACCAGGGCTTTCCTGGCAGGCACAGACCTGGACATGGGGCCAGCACCTCACTGACCTTCTGCTCTAAGCCACGTGGCTGGGCGCTAGCAGGGGAAAAGGAGGGAGGCCAGGAAAGTCCATTTCAGCCTCTTCACAGAGCAGGAAGCTGGAGACCGCAGGGAGAAGGGACCTCTCTGCTCTGTACTTCTGAGCGAGTTGAGTCAGGACAGCAGAAAAGGTACATACAGGCTACAATCCTTGACAAGAACCCCTAACAGCCCCACGAAGAAATGCACGCTGGGTAGAGAGATGGGGGCTGGGTGCCCTGATGCTCTGAGCTCCTGCAGTTAACCAGCTGGCTTCCTGCAACGCCCATGCCCTCAGGAATTGAGGGGACTCCCAGACTCACGTGCAGGACTTCCTGCCGGAGCCCGGCTGGCTCCACACAGCTGACCAGGCGCAGAAGCAGGTCCATAAGCGCTGAAGTGCCGATGTGCTTCAATACCAGGCTGATGAACTTGTCCTTCTTCTTCAAAAATGTAATCACCTGAAATCACACACACCTGATAGGCAGGCAGGGCCGACCCTGACCACTGTGACATGCCGCCTCCAAAAACCCTCATGGGCAGGTTGAACTGTTAATTACATTCTGCAGAAATAACGGAAAGACCCAGACAACATGATAAGCAAGCCCTCTCAAGGGACAGGCAGAGTCCTAGAGGCAGTGCTGCATGTGAGGGCCTGGGCAGGGGGAGGCACAGCTGTGGCTCTGCACCAACAGGACACAGCTGTCCCGGGGGGAAGCACAGGCCACCGTGAGCAGCTGCCATTCAATACCTACTGGTTCAAGTTTTTCCAACAGAAACGAATGGTGCAGCCAGAGCTGAGCTGAGCTGATGGCCAACGCTGGCAGCCCCTGGGTGAGAACGCAAACCCAGGGAGCACAGAGCGCACACAACGCCCGCTGCTGACCACAACCCGTGAATGGTTGAAGGGGAAAGAAGACTGAGGTTTTAGAAAAGAAAAAGAGGCATTCTGCGGCTGGCTGATGACCAGTGCCAACAAGGTGTGGACAGCTAAGTACGAGGACACGGGGGACACGGCACCCATCACGGACACAGTGGGCTGCTCAGATGGCAGATCCCAGGTAACAGTGAAAAGGTGAAGGCTGGGCTCGCTGCAAATTCAGCTCAACTCAGCCTACAGATATAAGTGCCTGCTATGTCCAGGCCACTGGGCTGCGGGCTGGGGTAGATCCAGCCCTTCACTGGAAACAATGAAAACAGAGAAGGTGACCTGGCTGCAGGACCTCAGCCTCAGTCCCTAGTGCTGCGATGAGGAGGAAGAGTAGGAAAGGGAGTGGTGAGAAAAGAGGGAAGGGGAAGAAGGAAGAGGGGGAGGAGAGCATGGGGGAGGAGGGGAGGAGGGGAAG